GTATGTTAAGAAAATTTGCAAGAACTCGTTTTCACCTAGCTTGAATGCCCCTGGAAAAGTATTATGCAACGGGTACACTGACATAAGTTCACACAAAAGTGTATTATTTATATCCATTATGATTCAACATACTTTATCCCTTTCCAACCTACGAAACAGGTTTTATTAAATATTTTTATTAGCGTTAATTAAAAAAATACCACAGGCCTCTACGTAATAGAATGAGCATTGGATAGGGACCGGACCTCCTAAAAATGTTAGGCCTATTTCTAACCTTACCAGTCACACCTTTTAGCTCATCTCTGCCTTTGGGCGCAGTTCCGTGCTATATCGCCTTGCTTAAAATAAAGTAGCATAAACAATCGATAATTAATAGGAAGTGTATCACCGAAAGTACAGCTGTGGTAAAATGTTACAATAGTATATCCTATACAAAAAACAAACAAACACAGCAACGGTTAATATACATCCCTATCCTGTTTTTACCCACCCCTTTTTGAAACTCTACCTTCTTCACACGTGTTCTTCTTCACTGCCACTGTCAAGGACTCCGGCAAGGTCGCAGACGTCAACACAAACCACTTAAGTCATGAAGGATCATCAACATATTTCATATGCCCTGAAGCACGAAAAAATGAATATATCCATAATGACGTTGTAACTTAAATATCTACACACAATCATCTAGTAATTCGATAGGCTTATGTGTGTGGTTGTTTATGTAAATAGCCTATTTATGTCGTAATTTATCCTATTTTTTACAATTCTCTTTGTATATTAGCCTTTTCTCAAACTCATGCTACACAAAACTTTACAATTGTTTTCTAATGAAAAGCAATATGCATATTCAAGAAGAAACTAGTAACAAGTGTCATATATACATAAAAGTGGAAAAATAAATATATAATAAGTAAACATAAAATAAGTCTTCTTCAAGAGTTGTTTATGTAAGTGAGGAGCAGCCATGTGAAGTTTCCAACAAAAATCTGTGTACATAACAGGTCCTGGTATTACATGGTACAGATGGGGCATTGGACTATGTAGGATTCCTGGAACTGTAAATTGTATACTGAAAGAACAAGGCAAATCTAGAATTATTATTTCTTGGAATTCTTATTTTCTAATCCAGTGCCTGTGTAATCACTAGTCATATGTGGTTAAGTGAGTGCATCTTGACACTGTACTTAATAGAAAATTAAATGTGCAAGTATTCATGCATCCTGTTCATCTTCGAAGGTTGCTACTACCAGTTCCAGCACTATGACGAGGGGGACAGGATTATCACCAATGAGCCTTGCCTCAACTGCACTTGCCATAACTCGATGCTCATGTGCTACTTGAAGGTAAACTTATTCCCGTATATATTTAAACTATTAACAGCTTGGTAATTATTTTGATATTCTATTGAAAGTCTGTGAAAAAGAGGATATTTCTGTCAAAAAAAAATAAAGAAACATGAACGAGATAACCATACTTCAAGTTATATATTTTCATTTTAGGTATGCCCATTCAGCAAGCCTATTGGGCAAGACTGCACTGTTGAGAAACGACCAGATCAGTGCTGCCCTGTGATCACCTGTCCTCAAGGTAGGTTCTGGATATACAAATTACGAAAATTGTTTTTCTCCTTCACAAATTACTAGTAAAAAATTGATATATTACTGTAATTATCATTATTGTTGTTGCTGTTGGTGTGTGTGCGTGTGTTTACGAGATTTTTAGAGTAAATTCTTGGTCGGAATATTGCTGTTGATGTCGTGATATTAAACGTTTATCTCTACCTAATTCACCAGCGAAAAAGGACCATTCTTCTGCAAGAAATTTTCACCATATGTTATGTACCTCGTTAGACAAGGATCTTCAACCTTTAATCTAATGTTATCATTCACATTAATTGCTCATTGCTTCTTCCACAGTCCCAGTGAATCTCCAGGTAATGCAGATGACCTCCACAACGACAGCTGCCCCTCCCGCCCCAACTACTGCATTGGTTCCCTACACCGAACACGGTTGCACCATAGAAGGAAAATACTACCCAGATGGTGCTCAGGTATGGCCGCATTCATGAAATTTAGTCGATCAAACAAATAAACAAACAGATCATTTTGGTTATTATCGTTGTAATGACTGGGAAGATTAGTAGTTATCATTAACATTGATAATGATGAAAATAATTGCAATACAAAATACCGAGCATATATATCAAAAGCTCTTCACATGAGTTTTCTCAAGTCGAGACTGATGGTGGAATTTTCATGAAATTACAATCTTCAAAATCTGTCACTGCAGGTCCCAGGTGTGCCAGGAAAACCATGCGAGCTGTGCTATTGTATCAGAAACCACACAGCGTGCGTTATGCAGGAATGTATTCTCATGGTCCATGGTTGTGACCCCGTTTTTGAGGATGGAGTTTGTTGCCCAGTTCGATACAAGTGTGGTTAGTATTAATTTTATATCTGTTGCTACTTATCAAACCAACGCATATTTCTTACTTGGTTTTAACAATTCGTGTAAGAAAGTAGATATACAACAAAACTTTGCTTATTAATTCTCTCATCACTTCTACGCACTTCCTTCTTGACGTTCTTTATCCTTACATACTTTATCCTCCGTTAATCTGCAATGAATGTAATATCGTTTTTATTCATCCATATTATGATGCTTCCTTTTAAAATTCTTGTCCATAATAACTGTTTAGCAAAAGATCAAGGTGCGTATATTAAAGTGGTATATATGGCTTGCAGCTCACGACGAGGAGACAGGGCTTGAAACCACGACTACAGTTCCTGCAACCGCCGCCAATGGAAGCGTCATACTTACCACAACCATACAGCCGATGCCCGTTGGATGTATGCACAAGGGCGAATTCTATGAAGATGGTGCCTCGATCCCGTCAGAAGACCCATGCGAACACTGCTACTGCATGAAGAGCGATCTGGTATGCGCCATTCAGGAATGCATGTCTCCCCTGGATGAGATGCAAGAGAGCTGCACTCCTCGACCGGCTCCTCCTGGCCAATGCTGCCCCGAGGCTTATGATTGCCGTAAGTTTTATTAACTTATACAAATAACTGTCTACATGTATGAGCACCATAGTATAATCTTTACACCTGCAGCAATCACACACAGGCAAACGTAAAATACAAGTTATATATATATATATATATATATATATATATATATATATATATATATATATATATATATATATATATATATATATATATATACATATATACAAATATAAGTGAGCATATATTTGTGTGTGTGTGTGTGTGTGTGTGTGTGCACATACATATTATCCATCTTCCGACTTGTTTTAACGGCTTTCTTCTTTACAGCTGAGCTCCCAGAAATCACCACGGTCACGCTTGATTATTCAAGTCTTGCCTCGACTACCGAAAGCGTCACTTCAGACACCGATGAAGTTACTGCTGAAATTAGCACAGAAGCCCCGGTTGACAAAACATCCACTGACACGGCCACCGATGTTGACACTGAAGAATCCGCAACGGATGTTCCTATTGCTGAGATAGATGTGACTGGCATTCCCTCAATTGACACTGATGAAACATCAACTGATGTTCCAGCTATTGAGATTGATGAAGTGGCAACTGATATTTCCATTACTGATGTAGATGAAACTTCAGATACTCCTGCTGTAGATACTGATGAATCAGCAACTGATGTTCCATCTGTTGAGACTGAAGAAACTTCAGATGCTCCCGTCGTTGATATTGATGAAACAGCAACGGATGCCCCAACTGCAGAGGTTGATGAAACAGCAACTGATGCTCCTACTGTAGGTGTTGATGAAACAGCAACTGATGCTCCTACTGTAGGTGTTGATGAAACAGCAACTGATGCTCCTACTGTAGGTGTTGATGAAACAGCAACTGAAGGTCCCTTTGTAGATGTTGATGAAACAGCAACTGATGCCCCTGCTGTAGATGTTGATGAAACAGCAACTGATGTTGATTGATGTTGATGAAACAGCAACTGATGCCCCTGCTGTAGATGTTGATGAAACAGCAACTGATGTGATGCTAGATATTGATGAAACAGCAACTGATGCCCTGCTGTAGATGTTGATGAAACAGCAACTGATGTTGATGAAACAGCAACTGATGCCCCTGCTGTAGATGTTGATGAAACAGCAACTGATGCCCCTGCTGTAGATGTTGATGAAACAGCAACTGATGCCCCTGCTGTAGATGTGAACACTGATGTGATGATGTTGATGAAACAGCAGATGCCCCTGAGTTGATGAAACAGCGAATTGCCTGCTGTAGATGTTGATGAAACAGCAACTGATGCCCCTGCTGTAGATGTTGATGAAACAGCAACTGATGCCCCTGCTGTAGATGTTGATGAAACAGCAACTGATGATGAAAACCCTGATGCTGCTGTAGATGTAGATGAAACAGCAACTGATGCCCCTGCGTAGATGTTATGAAACAGCAACTGATGCCCTGCTGCCCCTGCTGTAGATTTGATTGAAACAGCAACTGATGCCCCTGCTGTAATGTTTATGAAAACAGCAACTGATGGCTGATGAAACTTGTTGATGAAACAGCAATGATGCCCTGCTGATAGATGTTGATGAAACAGCAAACTGATGCCCTGCTGTAGATGTTGATAACAGCAACTGATTGCCCCTGCTGTAGATGTTGATGAAACAGCAACTGATGCCCCTGCTGTTATAGATGTAGATGAACAGCAACTGATGCCCCTGCTGTAGATGTTGATGAAACAGCAACTGATGCCCCTGCTGTAGATGTTGATGAAACAGCAACTGATGCCCCTGCTGTAGATGTTGATGAAACAGCAACTGATGCCCCTGCTAGTAATGTTGAATGAAACAGCAACTGATGCCCCTGCTGTATGATGTTGCCCTGCTGAAACTGCAACTGATGTGATGAAACAGCAACTGCCCCTGCTGTAGATGTTGATGAAACCTGATGCCCCTGCTGTAGATGTTGATGAAACAGCAACTGATGCTCCTACTGTTGATACTAATGAAACAACAACTGATGGAACTGCAACTGATGTTCCTGCTATCGACACTGGTATAACCACAGATGCTCCCACTGCAGAGACTGCTACTGTCTTACCAGAAGATAGCAGCATGTGTTATGTCAATGGTACAAGCTACAGTAATAACAGTATTGTCCCTGCGTATACCCCTTGTCAAGAGAGCTGTCGATGCATTAATGGTGCTGTTTCCTGCAAATTAGTGGCTTGCCCGCCTGCACCACCAGCATTCCTTAGATGCACCTCAGCTCCAGTTGAAGGAGAGTGTTGTCCGAGCCACACATGCCGTAAGTTTACTTTCTTTTTTCATAGCCCTGCTGACTGCAATAGCATGAATCATATATATCCCGTACAGTTTTGTATGTTTTTTTCGTTCTTGACATAACCTAATTACAACTTTGCAGCACCTGTCAAGCCAGATACAACAGAGACCCCTGGATGCGTCAGTGATGGTGTTCAATATTATGACGGAGAATTTGTGCCTAGTTCTGATCTATGTTCAGACTGCTACTGTCTTGGTGGTGAAGTCATCTGTGCAATCCTTGAATGTCCTCAACCCCAGGGACAAAACTGTACTGCCGTAGAACGACCTCTTGGAAGTTGCTGCCCAACAAAATATGAATGTGGTCAGTATCTATGCCTTTGACACACTGATTTCTAAATTGTTAATATATGAAATCTTATATATATATATGTGTGTGTGTGTGTGTGTCTGTGTATAAAATATAAGAAAATAACTTTGTTTTCCAGATGAAGTTGATATGCCCGACTCCTTAAGCCAAGTAACAGATGCAGATTCTGAGGGTAAGGTAACTCCATCTTCCACTTTTACCATTGGAGTGGACGAAAGTCATACAGAAGCTACATCTCAGGCTGGTGAAGATGTGACATCTACAAAGGCCCCAGTAGATGGAGCAGTTGAGGAACCAGTAACACCAGCTAGTACTGATGGGGAAGTTCCTGTTGAAAGCACACTCTCAACTGGTTCCCCTGATGACATGATGACTGGTCCAGTGATAGGACTAGAAACAAGAACAACAGCCCCTGATGACTACAGTGTTCTTACTACACCTATGACAACCATTACTGAGGATGTCTCAACTCAAACAGAAAGTCCTGTTGATCAATCTTCTGTTGATATCACAGATGAAACTACTAGCATTCCTGAGACTGATGATACTACAGTTATGGAAACTGCAGACCCTGAAATAGGCAAAACCACTGGTACCCCTGCAGTTGAAGCTACCTCAGAAGTTCCTATTGTTGATGAGACAGGTACTGAATCTCCAGAACTTGAAAGGCCAGTGACTGATATTCCCACGGTTGTTGCAGTTACTGATGTTCCTGATGATAAAGAACCAACCACAGAGACACCACTTGAAATTGAAACAGGAACTGATAGTCCAACAGGGGATCAAATAGCTACTGGTGTACCTACATTAGGTGAAGTAACAACAGATGTTGATGAGACAGCTACAGGTATCCCTGCAGTTGACACAGATGGAACGGATATGGTTACAGACATCCCAGAGGAAGTGATTTCAACAGTCAGCCTTCCTGATAAAGAAGGTATTCCTGGTGAGGGAAGTTGTATGGCTAATGGAACTACTTATTCAAATGGAGACAATGTGCCAGCTTCAAGGCCATGCCACCAATTATGTACCTGTAAGAACAGTATAGTGTCATGTGAGCTGCAAGCCTGTCCTCCCCCACCTCCAGCATTCTTACGCTGTGCTCCTGTGGAAGATCCAGAGCAATGCTGTCCATCATATGACTGTCGTAAGTATTGGCTAGAGCAAGTGCTCATAATTCCTATAAATTTCATACATATCACATACACTAATATACCATTCCTTTACTATGATTGTCTAATACTTTTCAGCTACCGTAGAACCTGATACCACAGAATACCCAGGATGCTTGAGAGATGGAATACAGTATCTAGAAGGAGAATATGTTCCAAGTCCAGACATCTGTACTGACTGTTATTGTCTCAGTGGGGAAATTATTTGTGCAGTCCTTGAGTGCCCAGTGCCTGCTGGTGCGAACTGCAAACCAATGTCTAGAGCAACTGACAGCTGCTGTCCTTCAAAATATGAATGTGGTAAGTGGTAGTTAACACACATAATACAAGATAATATTTTATACGTTTCTTTCAGTAACCTATTGCATAATTTGAATATTTTTGTAACAATTATTCTGTTTTCTGCAGATGACTTGGAGACAGATACTGATGCAGTCAATCAAACAGTTACTGATGCACCAACTGGAATTGATGAAACAGCTACTGAAGTTGATCAGACAACTACTGATGCTCCAGTTGAAGTTGATCAGACATCTACTGATGCCCCAGTTTGAAGTTGATCAGACAGCCACTGATGTCCCAGGTGAAGTTGATGAAACAGCCACTGATGCCCCAGTTGACATTGATCAGACATCCAGTTGAAGATTGATCAGAACTCTACTGACTGCCCCAGTTGATGTTAGATTCAGACAGCCCAACTGATTGCCCAGTTGAGATTATGATCAGACAGTCTATCTGGATGCCCCTGAGTCGAAAGTTGAGAAACAGCCCACTGACGTGCCCCAGTTGACTTGTTATCAGACAGATCCACTGAAGCCCCAGTGTAGTTGATCCAGACAGCTGACTGATGCGCGCCGAAATTGAAGAGTGGAATCGAGCAAATACTACATTGAATGCCCCAAGTGAGAAGTTGCAGTCAGACCAGCCACGATGTGCCCAGTAGTGAAGTTGATGAAAAACATGCACACTGTGAAGCTCCGGCAGTGTGACAATTTAGTATCAGACAAGCACACTAGATGCCCCAGACTGTCTTGATCAGAACAGCTTGACTCGATTGCCCCAGTTTGGAAGTTTGATCAGACAATGTCTTCTGATGCCCCAGATGATCGTTGATTCAGACAGGCCCACACTGATATGCTCCCAAGTTGTAAATGTGATGAGACAGTGCCACTTGTATGGCCCAGATTGTAAGTGTGATGAGGAACACCGACCTAAGTGCCCAACAGTTGAATGTATCAGACAGCTACTGATGCTCCCGAGTTGATAGTTATCAGACAGCTACTGATATGCACCCAGAATTGAAAGTTTATGAAATAGCCACTGAAATTCCCCAGCTTTGAAAGTTGATCAGACAGCCATCGATACCAGTTGAGATTGAAGTTTGATGAAACAGCCACTGAAGTTGATAACAAGACACCACAGACCTGCCCCAGTAGAAGTTGATCAGACATCTACTTCGATGCCCGCAGCTTGTAAGTTAAATGTAACAGCCACTGAATAGCCCAGTTTGACTGTTGATGAAACAGCCACTGAGTTGCTCCCAATTGAAGTTGATTGAAACTGCCACCGGAGATAGCCCCAGTTATGAGTAGTGTAATGATTAGACAGCACTGATGCCTCGATTGAGTGATCAATACTGCCACTGATGTCCCAGTTTGAAGATGATCTCAAACAGCCACTATATGCCCCAGTGAAAGGTGAGAAATGCACTTGCATGCCCCATTGAAGTAGGATTAAACAGCCTACTGATACCACCAGTTAAGTTGACCTCAATACGCACTGATAGCCCCAGTTGAAGTTGATCAAACTTGCACTGATGCCCCAGTGAGATTGAATCAAACAAGTATGGATGCCCCAGTTCAAGTTTGATGAAAACTGCCACTGTGATGCCCCAGTTGAAGTTATGATCAGACACAGCCATGATGCCCCAGTTGAAGTTGATCAAACAAGCCACTTATATGCCCCAGGATTGGATGAGAACTGCACTGATCCCAGTTGAAGTTGATGAACTGCCACTGATGCCCCAGTTGAAGTTGATCAAACAGCCACTGATGCCCCAGTTGAAGTTGATGAAACTGCCACTGATGCCCCAGTTTGAAGTTGATCAAATAGCCACTGAATCCCAGTTGAAGTTGATCAAAGCCACTGATTGCCCCACCAGCCACTGATGCCCCAGTTGAAGTTGATCAGAAAACTCCAAATATATGTCCCAGTTGACAAGTGATGAAACTGCCACTGATGCCCCCCAGTTGGAAGTTGCATCAAAACAGCCTACTGATGCCGCAGTTGGAGTTTGCACAGGAAAACAGCCACTGCATGCACCCAGTTTGAAGGTGATGAAAACAGCCACCTTGATGCCCCAGCTTGGAAGTTTGATGAACCGCCACTGATAAGCACTCCAGTGAAGTTGATGAAACAGCCACTGATGCACCCAATGTTTGAAGTTTAGAATCAAATCAGACCACTGGATGCCCAAGTGAAGTGATCAGACAGCATAGATGCACCCAAGATTGAAGTTGTATGGGAAACTGCCACATATGCTCCCAGTTGAAGATGATCAGACAGCCACTGATGCCCCAGTTTTGAAGATTGATGAAAAAGACTGCCCACGTGATGCCCAGGTTGAAGTGATTTCAAACAGGCCACTGATGACACCCAGTTGAGATTTCGATCAGACAGCCACTGATGCCCCAGTTGACGTAGATGAAAACAGCCACTTTGATGCCCCAAGTTGAAGTGATGCAGAACCGCCAAACTAAGTGCACCAAGTTGAAGTTGGCATACAAACAGCATGATTGCCCAGTTGAAGTGAATGGAAACTGGCCACTGATGCCCAGTTGAAGTTCGATCAACAGTCCACAATGATGCCCAGTTGCAAGTGGATGAAACAAGCACATGATGCCCCAGTGATTGAAGTGATGAAAAGACTGCCACTGGATGCCCCAGTGAGAGTTGATGAAAACTGCCACTGATATGTCCCCAGTTGACGTTGGATCAAACTAGCACTGAAATGACAGTGAATGTTGAATGAAAACTGCCACTGATTGCCCACAGGTTGAAGTTGGATGGAAACTGCCAACTTGATATTCCCACCAGTTTGATCAAACAAGCCACTGATGCCCCAGTTGAAGCTAGCATGAAACAGCCACTGATATGCCCCATATTGTAAGGTTGATCAAACAGCCTTACTGAATGCCCAGAAATTGAAGTGGATGAAACAGCTCACTAAGATATGCCCACCAAAGTTATGAAAGTTGTGAAACATGCCACTGAATGCTCCCAAGTTGAAGAATAGATGAAATCAGCCACTGATGCCAACCAGTTGAGGTTGATGAACAAACAGCCACTGATGTCCCAGTATGACGTTGTGATCAAACAGCCACAATGCATGCCCCAGTTGAAGTAGCAAATGTAAACAGCCACTGATGTCACCCAGTTTTAAGTTGATCAAACTACCACATGGATGTCGCCCTTGACGCGTTGATCAGCACAGCCAACTTACAATGCCGCCAGGTTGAAGATAGAATGGAAGAAACAGCCACTGATGCCCAGTGAAGCTGATCAAAACTGCCACTGATTGTTCCATGTTGAAAGGTGAATCAGAACAACAGCCACTAGATAATGCACACCTGAGTGGACGATTAGATCAATACCTGAGCCGAACTGCATGCCCCAGTATGAAGGTTTGGAATGAAGACTGCCAAACTGATGCGCACCATTGAAAGCATACAGCCACTGTAATGACCCAGTTGACAGTTGACAGACAGGCCACTGATGCTCCCAGTTTGGAGTTGCACCAAACTATAGCACTGATACCCCAAGTTGAAGTTGATCAAACTGCTACTGACTGCCCCAGTTGAAGATGCCATCAAACTGCCACACAACTGCCCACAGTTGAGCTTGGAGGTCAAAACAGCCACTGATGCCCCATATTTATGTTGAATTCAAGTACAGCCACTGATGCCCCAGTTGAGAAGTATGATGAAAGCGCGGCGATGATGCACAGTGAAACAGTGCATGAACACCGAGCCACTGGATCGCGCCAGAGTTGAGTTGTATCAAAGCGGCGCCACTGGATGCCACACGGAGTGAGCTTGTTGATCAGAATCAAGCCGAGCTGGTCACCTCCAGTGATAAGTGGATGAAAGCAGGCCACTTGATGTGGCTCCCAGTGATGGATCAGTACGAAGCCACATAGTATTGCCCAGTTGAAGTTGATGAAAACCGCCACTGATTGCCCAGTGATGTTAGGAAATTAGCCGACTGAGGCCTCTCAGTGAATATGATCAAACAGCTCAACTGATGCCCCAGTGAAGTTGAAAGTTCGAAATGCGACTGCCACTGCATTGGTCCCCGAGTCTGAGATGATACAGAGACAGCCACTGGATGCCGCCGGTTGAAGTTGTCAGAACTGCCACTGACAACAGCCACTGATGCCCCAGTTGACGTTGATCAGACAGCCACTGATGCCCCGGTTGAAGTTGATCAAATGGCTACTGATGCCCCAGTTGTTGATCAAATGGCTACTGATGCCCCAGTTGTTGATCAAATGGCTACTGATGCCCCAGTTGTTGATCAAATGGCTACTGATGCCCCAGTTGTGATCAAAATGGCTACTGATGCCCCAGTGTGTTTGATCAAATGCTACTGATTGCCCCAGTTGTTGATCAAATACTACTGCCCACGCCTTCCCTGAAGTTTGCCCCATTGACGATGGACAAAGCCACTGATACCCCAGTTGAAATGATCTATACAGCCACTGATTTCCCTGAAGTTGAACAGACAGCTACTGATGCTCCAGTTGAAGTTGATGAAACAGCTACTGATGGCCCACTTGAAGTTGATGAAACTGCCACTGATGCCCCAGTGGAAGTTGATGAAACAGCCACTGATGCCCCAGTTGAAGTTGATCAGACAGCTACTGATGCCCCAGTTGCTTCCACTACAACAGATGGTGATAAAGAAGGAGCTGTTGATTTGCCAGAGAATTGTGTGGTTCAAGGTTCTATGTATTATGATGGTTCCTTTGTTCCAGCTTCTTCTGCATGCCAAGAAAATTGCAGATGTACCAATGGAACTGTTATGTGTGAACGTCCATCTTGCCCCCCTGCACCTCCTGCTTTCCTCAGGTGTTCTCCCATCCCTCCTCAAGATAGTTGTTGCCCAACCTATGACTGTCGTAAGTAACCAGTTGTATTTATGTAATCCACAGTTTGTGTATATCTTCAGAAATTTACGAAACAAAAATCTGTGTTTATGTGTGTTAATTGAATATTATAATTTTCATTCCAGCTCCCATCATAGACCCTACAGTCACAGAGGCACCTCAGTGTGAAAAAGATGGTTCCATATACAATGATGGTGATTATGTACCAAGCCCAAGCGAATGTACAGACTGTTATTGTCTAGGAGGCGAAATTATTTGTGCCTATTTGGAATGTGTTGCACCTGGAGATAATTGTACACCTGTTTCACAGTTAAATAATTCTTGCTGCCCTGACAAATATGAATGTGGTAAGTAAAACATTTTTTTAACTTAGACAACTACTATAAATATCTGGAATATTTAATGCAATTGCAATGTTTACTTGAGCAAAAAAATTCAATTGTAATTCCTAATTTATATGACTCTAATTGCAGCTGATGTGCCTGATAGCTTAATGGCTACAACCATCTCACCAATTGGAGCGTCTGCTACAGATACAGCCAACGGAACTAGTCCAAGTACTGTAATACCTGTAACTGAGAGCATTTCCACTATCAGCACAGTGGCTCCAGAGACTGAATTCAAACCATCAAGTACCTTCCCATCTGTAGTTACTGACGAGCCAGAAACTGAGTCTTCTGATGCTCCAGTTACCACAAGTCCTGAGGGCATAGAGATCTCCTTCCCCACAGATGGGGTAACCACTGATGCTGATGGAGTCAGTTCTATCATTACAGAGGCTTCCATTGCTACAGATGGTTTAGAAACTGAGTCACCAGGTATCACTATTTCCTCCTTTGTAACTGAAGCAACATCTGAGGGTGTAGTCTCAGATGTAACTGGACCACCTGTAACCCCAAGTGTTACCAGTACATCAAGCTTAGATATTACCACCACCACAGAATCAGTTCCCAGCTCCGGTGAACCTATGCTAACTGAAGCTTCAGTTGCCACTGAAGAACCAGAGACTGAGGCTACAATTGGCATCGTTGTTGATGTAACAAGTGCCCCTACAGTTGTATCTTCATCAGGTACGAGTGTTACAGAGGAACCGTCAGCCACAGACTCACCCCTTACAGAACCAACTGATTCTGGCTATGCCACTGAAGCAACTATTTCTGTGACAGAATCTACCACAGTTACTGATGCTGATGTACAAGTAAGTACAGAGAAGCCTGGAGTTACTGAAAGCATCGAAGGTCAAGTGACAACTAAATCAACAGAATCTACATCAGAATATTCAGGGTCTTCTGAAACAGCTTCACCAGATATTCCAGTTTCAACAGAAGTCCCAACACAAACGGCATCAGAGGTACCAACAGAATTAACAGATGTTCCAGTTTCCACTGAATTACCTACAGCTTCAACATCAACGGAATTTCCAGTCTCAACTGAGTCAGCTGTACCGCAGGTGCCTACAGAAGTATCAGCAGCTACAGGAGCAGCTGGAGAAACCTCAGTATCAACTGAATCAGCATCGACAGTTGATTCTGTGCCGTCTGAATTATCAACTGAAGCTCCATTCCCACCCTTCCCTGGTACTACATCTGTCTTCCCTAAGCCGGAAACCACCACCTGGAAACCATCAACTACCACAGAGCTCATTATTGGGCCAGGAGCTTGTGTATTTGATGGTGAAGTATACCTCTCTGCACAACAAATTCCACGAGATGACCCATGCGACTTCTGTTTCTGCTTCCGTGGAGACATCATCTGTTTGCAACAGTCATGTCCTCCACCTATCCCTGGGTGTTATGAAGAAGCCATTCCTGGGTTCTGCTGCCCACGATACGAGTGTCCAGTCACCCAGGCAGTGGTTAACATTACTACTACTACCACACCTATTCCTACCTATCCACCTGTCCAGAAGGTAGAAGAAGTCACTATGTGTGAAATTGGCGATCGTTTCTACCACCCTGGCGAGCTCGTAGAAGAAGCTTCTGGACCTTGTCTTGAGTGCAGGTAATATTTTAAAACAATTCAGTATATCTTCTGAACACTTAAAACATTTCATTACATGGTTATTTGTGTGTGTGTGTGTGTGTGTGTGTGTGTGACCAAAGACAATATTAGAGAATTTTGTAATGGGAAGCGATGAATAATGAGTATTTCATATTTAGTATGTATATGTACTAACACCATATTAAATCCAACAGGTGCGGAAAGGACGGCATGATGGAATGCGAGCCCCGTGAGTGCCGAGCAGAACCTATGCTTCGCAAAATCTTGGGCACTAAGGGCAACTTATATGGTCGGTGAAGTCCCTTACTGGAAGTGGCTTCCCGCTCCTATGTCTACTACATTCACCCTATTCACGAGCGGTGACTCAGGATTCACTCTGAAAACACGTCGCTTGTGCTTCCTTGCTTGGCTCTGTGTCGTTATACACTGAGCACGGGAAATGGCATTAAACCAATATGTCGCATGATTAATATGACGTTGTTTCCACAGGAGTGAACGTGCCCAGTTTCTATCATAAGTAATTCCCATTCCTTCGATCCCTTCCTGTAGCTCTTAGGGTAGCTCTCCGTGACCATAACGCTCAAACAGCAAGTCTGTGTTAATAAAGAGATGTGCGAGTCCTGAATGAGGAGAGATAAGTTAGTGTAATGGTAGTGCCAATGTGTTCTGTAAGTGTCCCCTGTGTGTTGTATGTGCCACATCAGGTGTTTTTCTATCAGAACAGCTTAGTCAGTATTATTCGGCATACAGTATTTTCAATTAGTATTTATCTACTTTAGTCTCATTTCATACAGCTATCCTGTATTTCTCGATGGCATTGACGCTCATCTATGTGGCATTATTCTAATTCATTTTCTTGGTGGCATTGATAACACACAGACATCTAAATGGACTGATACATGCTTTATAGAGTCGACGAGTTAGAGGGTAGGAAGCTTATATTCATGTGCTTGTGCCTATTCAGATGCGTTCTTCCCTTGTTCAGTTAAATGAA